TCGGCCCCTGTGGACAGCCTGTGCTGGAGCAGTTTTGCTGGCAGGACTTGTGATCCCGTGGGGAACCCACACTGGAGCAGTTCATGAAGAACTGTATCCCATGGGCAGGACTCATGTTGGAGAAGTTCATGGAGGACTGCCTCCTGCAGGAGGGACCCCACAGTGGAGCAGGGGAAGAACGTGAGGAGTTTTTCCCCTTAGGAGTAAGGAGCGGCAGAAACAATGTGTGATGAACTGACCATGACATCCATTCCCTGTCCCTCTGCTGTTAGAGGGGAGAAGGTAGAGAATTCAGAAGCAAAGTTGAGCTCAGGAAGAAGGGAAAAGGTGTTTCAAGATTTGTTTTTTACTTCTCATTATCTTCCTCTGATTTTGATTGGTAATAAAATTAAGTTAGTTTCCCCGAGTCCGCTTTTCTGTGACAGTACTTGGTGAGTGATCTCTCCCTGCCCTTATTTTGACCCATGAGCCTTTTGTTGTATTTTCTGTCCCCTGTCCAGCTGAGGAGGCGAGTGACAGAGAGTGGCTTTGGTGGGCACCAGGTGTCCAGCCAGGGCCAACCCACCACAACACTACAGGGCAATAAATCATTACTAGAGGGGATGTCTAGGGTGGCTGGAAAAATATAAGGCATTTTGTGGCCACTAACAATGCAGTGAAAAGTCAAACAATTCTGAACAATTCAGAAAGACAAAAGGTAAGTGGCTAAGTAGTAACCAGCAAGGAAGCTAAAACTGCAAAAAAGTGATGACCGAGTGCATGGATTGTGGCTGGCACAGTGTGGGAGGAATTCTTGGACTGCAAAGTCAGATCATGTAGACAGAGCTCAGTGACACAGTGCTCAAGGATTTGTATGCTACACGAGTCAGCACTGAGCTTTTTACAAACAAAAGAGTCAGCTCTCTATTAAAAAAAGGAAACAACAACAAAGTTACTGGCTTCTCAGTGCACACACTGTAGGGCAAGTTACCAGAAACCATTAGGTTTCTGTAACTGTCCTCAAGTGGCACACGGAGCCAGGTTTTCATGCCAGCTGGCACAAACGTAGGTTGACCTTTGTTGCATGGTTCAGCACCAAGCCAGGATGAGGCACTGTGCTGGAGCTTTTTCACAGTCTTACTGACAGCAGGGAATGAGGGCACCTAAGTCCACTCCAAGCGCAAAAGGACAAACTTCTCTTGTAAGCACATGCTGCTTTTCATTCACCTCAGTTTTAAATTCTTATGTCCTCACACTACAACGTAACAACCATATATATACATGGCATACGTGTGTAAGCATATGTAGGCAAGCGCATCTACTCATCACTCCTCCTAACCCACAGAACTCCTTGGACAGTCATGCCTATCTACTCTTCTAGTTTATCTCCCCAGATGAACCACCCAGCCTCATTCTCCTCGTGACATCTCTCCATCCACTTTTAATCCAACGTCTTTTCTCAGGCTGTCACATCTCTTCTGCCAAGCTCACAGAAAACACTAGTCTCTCTTCTCCTCCTCCCTGCTCAACTTCACCATTCCTCTGCAGACATCCATCTCATTCCTCCATCCTTCTGCATTTCCCTCACTTTCTCTCAGCCATCCCTACTTTCAAGAGCACCTTCTTGCTCAGTTGTTCCTAAACCTTTACTTCCCACCTTCATCCTCAGAGAAGCAAAGTGCACTTGTACCTTTGTATAGCTGTACTGCAGAAGAGCAAACTTTTGGTCAGGAGACAATATAGCTGTGGTTGCGTTGTATTTATCCTGTCAACAGAGGGCAAAAGGAACACATAAAGCATTGATTCCAAAGAAATGCACAGAACAAAATATTAAATTCGATACCTTTCCCGATGTCTGCATATTTATATATAAGTCAACGTACTAATGTTGTATTCGCCAAGATTACTGAGGATGTTCCGGTGTCAGCATTGACAAGTAGGATGTCTCCATTAGTTGCTTCATGAAGATACTGATTTCCTAGAAGAACAAGAGAGCTGCTAATAAACAGTAACTAAAACCCTGATCAGTTACTTCTCTTTTCCCCTTATGTTTTTAAGCAGGAAATAAAATTCAAAAATCTGGTCAATGTTGTGCTTCCCACTTCTGTAATGAAGGGATGCTTATAGCACAAGAATGTTCACAAAATGTAGTCCTGGGGCTCACAGCCTCCGCTTTCTGGCATCCCTTTCTCTTGCAGCTCTAGGCATATTCAAAATGAAAAGCTCCCTGTATCCTCCTGATCCCTGACAGCCTGATGCACAGGAACCTGACACACTTCAGAGTATAACATGCTTCTACAAAAAAGCATAGAAGTAAGTATGCTCTTTTAGCAGTAGGAGAATATAGCTTGCCATGAACGCAAACACATATCCAAGGAAAAAAAAAAATCACAACATTTTGAGCTATTCATCTTTCTATAATGGCACCAACAAATAACTTTTTTTTCAGGATATAGCAGTCACCTCAGCATGACGATACATGTCTACTGAAGGCAGTACATCTTCTTGACATTCATACTGTATGTAGAAATGGATTACCTGAAATCCACTCCAAACTATGTGATCTGTACTGATAGTCACTATTCAAGTAATTCTGTAGAGTGTATGTTCTTCGTGAATCAGTCTCAGACGTACTTTCTGAAAGAAAGAGACAGATTTTGATGTTGCTGCATTTTTTTCCACCCCAGCTTAACTTGACTACTAAAATAAATGGGGTTTTGTTGCCAGTTATTGATGTGTTTTAGCTAACCAGCTCTAAAGTACTAGCAGTAAGAAGGCACTAAAGCTTTACTGCAAGATAAATTCAGCAAGCATAAAATAAACGAGAATTGGTGAGATCACTCAACTAACTCATGTAAAAATTACAGATGCCTTTTTCTCTGCTGTTATTTAAGGTACACAAGAGCTGTTATTTTTTGAGTAAAGGAAAACACCTTTTTGACAGTGACGAAATAAACAGAGGACCTCCGGCTCTCTTATCTCAGGAAACGCATACTTATACTCCACAAAAATTGAGACGTGATCTTAGTGCCTTCCCCCTCCATCCTCGTGCTGGGAACTTTGCTGCAGAACCCTGACTGCTAATATTTGCACAGAACATCAGTCATGGGGTGGATCGTGCAAAGCAAAGATGCACATACTCATGTTTCAGAGCGGTGGACAGCCAAGGCTGTCCAGATGAGTGAAATGTGGCATCAATGTGAGTAGATGCACAGACCTTGAGAGAGACCCTAAAACTAAAGCTGCTGCTGTACTTTATCACATATTCTATAATATTGCTGTTCCTGCTCATGAACCCTTCAATTGTGAATCATCTGCTTATCATTAAAGTAAAATTTCAGAAATGTCTCAAATGAAAAAATCCAAGGAGTTGTAAAATTTTCAAGGAAGGTCTAATTTAAAAAAAAAATAAATCACAAATGCTTACTGAAAAGCTTATGATGAAATAACTGGTTAAATGTTTATCTCTCTCATGATGTGTTTTTCACCAAGGTATTTTAATGTTTACTGCAACATTGCTATTTTGACTGCAAAATTAAAGCCAAGCAACTGGGTTACTATGAAAAGACTAAGTGAAGCTTTGATTCCAGTTAAGCTAATGGTCATCAATTCCAGTGCACTACAGTCAACTTCTATGAAAAATATTTCTTTCCTACTAGCTGTGGTGCACAACCTACTCTTTCCAAAATCTCAAAGGTTCAATAACAATAACAGTTAAAAAAATCAGTTTTCAAGTCTTTGTGATCTTTTTCCTCTGAAAACAAAGATTAAAATTTTTAAATTTAGGTGTGCAATTCTCTCCCTGCTTCCTGCTCCCTTGTGTTTTTTCTCTTTTTTTAAATGGGAATCTAAAGCCTATCCTTATACAAAACTACACAGTCCAGAAGGGCAGCAATTTTTATTTCAACTGGTTAAATCATTCCTTTTTTGTTACTACCAGTACAAATCAAAAGACCTAGGATAAAACCTACTGATAAAAAACACTCAAGTACAGACGTGGTGACTGATCAGCCAAGATCATAATCTGTCTCTATCAATTCTGAGAGACCCAGTCTTTGATGCTTTTAAACATACAGCTTCCTCTTTCATTTTGCTGAAGAAGAGCGTAAAGTCCTTGGGGAAACACACAGAGAAAAACACCTCACAATTTTTGCAGGTTATCTTTCTGCAGGTTAAATACATGTGACATCCAGAACACAATAGGAAGATATTTATATTACCAATTAGAGTTTTATTTCCGAACAATAAGCACATTGCATATATATAGCACAGACTGTACAGGCATTGCTGCAATAAAAGTCAAGAGCCTCAACAAACAACTATTTTAGTCTAAGATGCTCTGCAAAGGTTAAAAAAATTGCTTGCTTAATTCATATGAAATTTCACTGTTCTAAAAAATTACTAGTCTAGATTTCTTGCTCATGAAGTTTCCATGAGAATATTAATTTCTCAGGTTAATTATTCTATATTAACTGAATATTTAATTTGACGGATTATGAACAAGAGTGCATTTGATATTCACGCACAGTTGTCTAGTTGGGAATATCACTTCTCTCCTTCCTAATTGACTAAGTGTCATTTTCAATTAGAGGGGCTTCAGAAAGCAACAAAATTCTCTCTTGGAAAAGAAGGAGCAATTTAAGACAGGTGGCTGATGAACAGGTTTAGGGATTTTTCCAAACTGATGGATGTTTTTCCCCCTGGTGACATACATATTTTGCTGAGGTCTCACTACTAAAAATCAGGCCACTATTAAGATTTGTTGGCTGTGTATAAAATTAAAACTTCATTTTCTGTCAACACCTTCCACATAGTAACTGAATATGAAAACACACGCCAAGCTGTAAGGGTATACTCATAAAGTTCTAATTGAAGTATTCTCTTAATTTGCGAGATAGGCCACTACTGGTATATTCTTACTTATCCACATTATGCCAACGACCAAAGACACTCAACATACATTTTATTCTGCATTTTGGTTCTTCCTGTTCAGATTCCATTTGGAAAAAAGTGTCAAACAGGTTTATTTTGACAAAATAAAGTAGTTGTTGACGTTCAAGAGCATTTTATTGGCTTTGAAGATTGGATATAGGTCAATGTATGCTCATATTTTAGTAAAACAGCTTCTTTCACTCTTAGGTTCCTCAGAGAGGCTGTGAAGGCTTAATTTTCTTTCTATTTTTCTTCTTTGACTATTCCAGATACAGACTTATTTTTCTAAATTCCAAATGACTAGCTCTTCATCTCCACCCTATTCTCATCCCCCGAAGCACATACATGTTTCCACTGTCATAATGATATACTAGAAACATTTACATCATGATACACCTGTTACAACGGCAATATCCTAGTAAGTCCTTCTGGGAAGGAGGCTCTTAACCTTTTATGTAAGTAGTACTCATATGAAGTTGATAAACACTTTTGTTTCAATTTTGGATTTTGTTGTTGTTTTTTTTTTTTTAATGTCACCCTTTCTGGAGAGAAAAATTGAGTTGGTTTCTGTAGGTGTAAGGTGTAAAGTAAACAATAAATTCACTACTGTGTAAGGTTTATGGTATGACACATCATCATACCCAAATTTAAAGTTGTTGACAAATTACTTGTGGTATATGTATTGTTTATTCCTCAGTGTCAAGGCAGATTTTACTGATTTCCTTCTATAATAAAGAAGAGTGAGAAATTATGTGACCAACTTAAATGAGATGAAAAACTATAAAACTAGTAATAACGGAAGCTTTACTGCGTGTTCCCACTACC